AAATACTTTTGGGTAGTGAGCCGGTATTCACTATGCTATTTTTCGTCATTCTTCTGAGAAGCTAGGTATCCGCTAAGCACTTGCAAGGAATTTTGTGGCAAGTGTTCATGCAGTGGCTGACGACAATGAGAAATGATACCTTTAGTGGGTATGCGCCACAGCTAATAGGTGAACAAGAACAAGCTTTTGTAATGGGTTGGAGCATTGGACGACCCACTCGTTACGCTATTCGGATTGTGCGACGACTGGTTGTTCTTTCGCTGTTTAGAAACGCTCTAGAAGTCGTGTTAAAGCGATGGCTTTCCTAACATCAAGCCTACCCAAGGCAAGTTTGCCATCAAGTCACAAGCACCGGCATGGCTCAGGGGTAGAATACAGGGCTGGCACCGAGCGGACCCAGGTTGGAGCCCCCCTGTGTCATTGCTAATAAGTTTTTTTTGTAATTCGGTGCGATGTAGTTACGGACACCGGCGGTGCACAACTACGGCTCTGCGCGAGATCCGACTTTTGATCTCATAACAGCTTCAACTCTAAAATTAACAGCCCGATCCGCAAGCGAAGTGAGAAGAGCGCCGCGTTCTACGCTGACAAGTTACACTCGGTTAATTCAATGAGCTCCTGTTTCTTTCCTTTCACGAAACTAGCGCTCCTTTTTATTGCAACCCCGCTTCAAGAATTCTTGCAGACGCGCTGATGACAACACAGCGGCGGAGTGGTCATAGGGCGGATGGCCGCCCATTCACGCTGCGAGTTTTACGGTGATCACTCGATATGTTGGGCAATGTAAGAATGAAGAAACTCGAAAACGAGGTGAATACGCTAGTGAATATACTCTGCACAATCGCTGCGACATCATGGGGCGGATCTGTATCATCCATGCTCGCTGTTTACAATGCTTTAATACGACAAAAAGTTGCATATTCTGCAGCAGTCTTACACGGCATTCCCGCACTTCAGAGGAGTGACTTCAAAGACTATTAGCTAGGGGACTGCGCGTCTGCATAGGTGTTTCACGAGTGACTTCCAGCAGCCTTGTCATAGCAGAGACTCGACAACCACTCTTTCCAGTCATGAGAATAATTGAAACATGCCGCCATTTTTTTCACTTACAGACGCAACAGAAGGCCCACCCATTGGCACTGGAGATTTTACTAAGAGATAAAAGCAATGCTCATAACGATATACAGAGTAATGTACATACATTACCCAGAAATGAATTTTGGAGCTCTGAAATGGACTATCCTCCATGGCTGCTTGCAATACTAAGCATTGAATTCTCAGTGGATGGCATATAGAGAGGCATGTTCATCCAAGCTGCTCAACAATTAGCGCTTTATCAGATACACATGTGGTATCCAGGGTTCATACACATTTACACAGATGGCTCAAGTACTACTACGTCTTCAACATCGGCATTTATCATACCACAGCTCAATATTCAGGAATCGTTTAAATTATGTCGCATGACGTCATCTACTACATCTGAGCTTTTCGCTATTTTGTATGCTCTAAAGTTTGTAAACTTGGTAGCAGACGCTAGAAAATGGGTACTTTTCATTGACTCACAGACCGCATTAACATCACTCTCCAGTACAAACAGGACAGTAATAAGTGATAGTATGACATACGAAACGCTGAAAGAGCTCACCAAAGCAAAGAAGGCGCAACATGAGATCAAATTTCAGTGGATACCTGGCCATTGTAACATTCCTGGAAACACAGCTGCCGATGAAGCAGCATGACAAGCACATCGTAAAGACGTTACTGTTTCTTTACCAATTTCGAAAAATGAATTGCGTAGTATTATAAAGAATACAACTTTCAAAATGAGCAAAACTGCTTGGTTTGACCAAAGTACAAAGAGCTGCGATTTATATCACATCGATCCATTTATTGAATTCAAATTTACGTTGGCATTAGATAGAAGTATGGAAACTCTAGTTCACCGATTGAGGCTAGGCACCGCATACACAAAACATTTTTTTTTGCATAGAATCGGCAGAGCTGAAAATCCCGAATGTCAATGTGGATTTATAGAGGAAGGACGTATGTCACCTTCTCATAGACGGTACACATCATGACACGCCGAGACGCCGTCTTAAGTCCGAACGGTTGGCATTAGACCGCAGACCGTTTAACATGAAACTTCTGGGCCCGTGGCCTACTGGAGTTTTACAGTCGCACGCTCTAAAAGCATTAACACGTTTTTTTACGAGACAGCGGGATTGCTGACAAGTATTGAGAAATAACGAACTTTCATTTGTAACACATGTACTTATTATGTACAGTATCATGTGAGACCCATCATGTGTGTGTTGTGAAATGAATGACGTGTCGACTATTATGTACACACGAGCGAATGCATCTTTATAAGGACCAGACGTGTGCTCTGCTGTTTTGTGCTGGTAGACCGAATAATAATGAGGGACATTATCAGAGACTTCATTCACTGTCTTTCGAACATTTCCTTACCATTATGTTGTGATATGTGCGTATAAGTGTGTCTTTGCATATCTGTGCCCGAGTTTTATATTTTCCATGCACTTCTTTGTATGTTTTGCTTCAAGATACGTGTTCAAGTTTCACTCAACAGCTAAGGAGTAGCCGGTGCCATAATGGTGCGCCAACATCTCCTTATATATCATATCAATAAAAAAAAGAACGAATATAAGGATCTTTTGATTGTTCAAGAAGAACGCAACGCGTGTTCAGAGTTTAGTGTATCTGGTAGAAAACATGGCGTGTTACATTGCATGCAGTGCCAATTCGCCTTTTTTTTTTCTTCAATGCTCTACCTCGAAGAATACTTAGTTTCCTTCAGAAAGACGCCGTGTGCCGCACGTATGCGACACTTTGACTCGGATGTGGTCGATAGTACAGTAAATGAACACAATACTGATATTGTCAATGTGCCACCAAAACATACTCAAAATGCAAATGACGAAAAAGGAGACGATCACAACTAAGGCACTTTCTTTGTGAAAGACGTGTGGAGCAAAAGTAGGTCGGCTAATCGAAGCCTTTCACAACGTTTTGGCAAAATTACTTATCATGCTACTTGGCATGACTCGGGTTCTCATTTATTTAGGGCATAACTGTGATTCGGTTGACCACCTCATATGTATCTGTACGCGATAATGTAGTAAAATTACGTGTCATGATAAGAGGACAATATGGGAGACCGTAATATAGGACAATATAGGTCAATATAAGACAATATAGGAGCCCAGTTTTCAGCAAAGCACGTCTCCAGAAAAGCGGTGTGCTAAAATTCCTCTATATTTTTCACACTGTTATCAAGTATTAAGCACCCAGATAAAAAAAAGACCGAGAAGAAAAAAATGTAACACTGCCGTAAACAAATTCACACCTCCCTATTATGGTCTATATCAGCGACATTCAGCAGTTGCCACGATTTTCTTCGTAAACTGGACCAAAACAAATGCAGTATCGAAAACAAATTGCCTTTAGTGCATGCAGAAGCTGCAGCATAAACTTCAGTACAGTCAGAAACATGGTATTGTGTACAGTACGATAATCTGTCAAGCCTCTACGATTGCTTCCATGCATGATCTAGTTAAAACCACGAATGAGTTAAGACAAAGGGTCGCAGGTAATTGTACTCGGTCAATATTCATTATTTGAATATATTCAGGTACAAGCTGATGTGTGCCTGTAACTGCAATTTTGAAGGTTTGTGATTGATGGATAGGAGCAACAGTGGTTTGGACATTTTTAGAAACCTCGAGACTCAATTTAAATGTTAGAGGCTATATGAAAAAAACGTAGTTAATTTGTATGTAGTGTACATGAAAAATTACAATCCGATTAACTCTCTTGATTTTGAATAACTGTCTGGAACATGTACTCGGTTTGAGAGCTGGCGTGCAGTCTCCAACGTTGCCTTCAAAAATGAACTTTTGCCAGTAAGTTTTCCGTTATCACTTTTATATTACTACTTCTTTCGTTTCAATTACCAACTTTTAATGCAAGTTCGTTTAATAATTATTGTTACGTTATTGGGCACCGCTTAAAGGGAAGAAGCGCACCAACAGATACGCATCTGTACATGGCAGTAACCTGGCATGACAGCACAGGTCAGCGGAAACAAAAAAAAAAAGCAGAAGAGAGAGAAGAAAGGCAGGGTGGTTAGCTGGCTTAGAATTACCACTATGTCACCCTATATTAGGAACGATTAGGAGGTATTCGTAAAGAAAAAAGGACAGAGGAAGACTTAGCATCTTCAACAAAAAAAAAAAAGCGTGTTCACGCTGCTCTTCAGTGAGCTGCAACTGCTGCTCTTGCCTGCACGATGGTGTTCAGTCGTGATCACAGATTCACAATTTACCATCTGTCTCTTCTTTCCAGTCACCATCTATCTTCTCAAGGCGCAGAGTTTCCATCTATATACTTCCATAGTTACAGTTAGCCTACATGACTTTCCGTTTCCTATTGCGCTCTATATTTGTCTTTTCAAGGAGCTCGCACACAAATAATTTCAATCTGCATTTGTAGTGCGCATGTATTGTACGACGAGAAATCCGCGTTATCCGCCCACTATAAATTGTGCCACATTAAATGCATGTACAACGAAATGTTGTCGCACTAGTATCTGAGATGACTGTGAGCAGAAATGTCATGCACAACTGAGATGTTGCTCTGCTCAAACTACATCTAGAGAATCGCGTCTTTTTTCATGCGGGTCGGTAACCTTCTTTACCCTAGATTATCACTTTGATATGGTGCCTCGCCGTTCCGTTGAAGCAATATTTATGCACGTATACCGGAGCACATTTGCACGACCACATGGTATACTTTTTTGTCAACGAAAACCGGTGACAGTTTCGTCGTAAATGCTCGTCCTAAAGCAAGCCGGAAATTCTCTTCCAGTTTTTGCAAATGGGCTTCAGGCCATGACATGTCAAACTGGCCACGCGGTTTGCATACATGTGTGACAAAAAAAAAAAAAGCATACGTTTTCGCAATTATCACTGACTCACCTCAAAAAGGGTGTTCCGTAACGTTGTCCCGATGTAGTCGAAGTTTAGGATGCTCATGGTAATTCTTTGCTCACTATATCCGTCATCACGAAAAGTAAAATGCGCTTCAAAAGGCACCTCTAATGTAGCATTCCTCGGGAACGTCATAGCAAGGGGTAAGCCTAAAAGTATTCAAAATATAGCGATAGAAGGGAATAATGAAGCATAAATGGCGTTTTGAAGTTTTACGTTCCCCAAATTACCATCTGAGTATTATGAACATGCCCGGTATCATGGACTCGGTATCATCAATTTTGACCGTGTGAGTCTGCGTCCACCTATACCCAAAAACATAAAATGTCTTTTCACACTGCATAGTAATCTATACGCGGAGCGAAGTTGTTGCATGTCACAGAGTCAGCGAAACAGCCAAATCCGGTTGACGGGGTTTTGACCCGATCAAAAATTTTCAAGTTTGCTTACGTACACGCACACATAAACGCACACACGAACATACACAAAGTATGGTTACTGCTCCCCCCCACTGACTGGAAAGAAATACTGGGTACACCCTTGGTAGGTATTACCCTTATCTCGAGAAACCACATTCGATCACACCACTATCGGAATGATGGCTGTTGCGCGCAAGTCAATAGACAACGTCCAAATATTATCTACACTTATCGGTTATGAAATTCTTCTGCGTCTTATACAATGATTGCCTTGTATGTAAAAAAAGCTTTTTGGAATTTCTTCGAGTCTCGCTTCAAGTTGTTGAATAACCTGAGGCACATCACACGCCTTCTGAGCACCTGCGCGAAGCAGCTTGTATGAAACAACTTTTCTTCATTTTATACACTTTTTGTCTTACACTTTTATATAAGTGTGTAGTTGTGACTGAGTTATGATTATAACAAAAATCAATGACGTCCAACAATATTATCTCTCACGAAGTAGCTTCGTTACCTGTTATGTTTGCAGGTGGTCTCTTTAAATTGCGCTTCGTCAAATTGCCAACTGTAAAGAGCGAAGCACATATTTCATTACAAAAGTTCTTGTTATGAAGGCACTAAAGAAGCAGTGTAACAAAAATAACGTGAACTGAAAACTACGCTTGGCCACCAAATGTTTACAGCTGCTTGCGTGCTCACCTCTCGTCGACAAGTTCAAATAAAAAATTTATGCGAGAAAAAGCTCACTTGTTTTAATCAACGCTAAGTTATGATTTCACTGTTTAATGAATCGTATGAGCGGCGCGTGGCTAAGTCATGATGCTCATGATTTAATTTTATTTCAATATTCATTTGCCTGAATAAATGTGATTTTGCTACATGAATCGACCGATTATAGCATAACGTCATTTCTTGAATCACTCACTTTTTTCGGTGAACAGCGCTGTTAAGGGCAGCTTCACTGAAATAACTATCAGGATGGAGTCACATATTTGTTGCGGTATAACACATGTATAGTGTTGATATTCATTAGGTGTAACTGAAAACAAAGACAGATATTGACATAAGCGTACAGATAGTAAAGATTTCTGAACAAGTGGACTCGCTATTAGTGAACAGGGTACTTTTTTGCGCTGTCTAAGTATGTTGATTCAGCTATACAAATTTGTGTTCACTTAAAACATGCTTTATGTTACCTTTATGCAAAACTTATCAAACCTACGTCAGCTGAGAATAAGCATTACGGCAGATTGACAGTAAGATATATTTCAACCCGTTTAATCGTCCCTACAGTTTCCGTTGTTTCATTTCTCACCCAACAAAAATATCTCAGGCTGTGTGATGTAGCGACAATGCAACCAACTCTGGTATCGCGTTTTGCACGAACAGTTACACGAGACTAATTTCTGAGTAGCATGCAGTAACTTGAACGTTTGAAACATAATAATGATTGAAAATCTTTCGAACTATAATACCCAGGACAAAACACGCTCTTACGTATATTTATGCAGTATGTAAAGATGCGCAAATTACTCACACGTCCACGTCATGCTTCCTCTGATCGTGTAATTATTTGTGTGTATTCCGTGAATTCGACAAGGCTGATTGCGCACGAGGTCGTTTTTCCGTGTCTGCACTTTCACGTACGACCTGAGAACCAGAAGATCCCGCAGAAAGAAGTACATTCTTTCGTCCGGTGCCGATACAACAGTCATAAACTGGTTTCGTGTGAAATTAGCATTGGGAACTTTCACACATGTCGTGGTTCCACCTGAAACAAGGGGATAAAAATAAACGCACGTATTATGATCATCTTTATAGACGCGTGAATAGAAGCATAGAGTTTTCTACACAACACTAGAGGAAAGCCTGGCGCTAGTGTCTATGGAAGCTGCAGCACAAGGCGCTTCAGTGAGCATTGAAATATATGGGTAGTAAATGGATTTGCCTAATCTTCGTACTTCACGTTTCGTCTGGCTTCGCATGGCTCGAACCTGCTTTGTCACGAAACAACAATCAGCTATAGTTTATAAGTTAAGCTTCACCACCTTCTACATTTTAGGCTCACCTGTTCAAATTTGGACGTGAAGTTCAAAAAGGTTCGTTCTTTCCTTCAAAACAAAAGCGAAACACAGCTATGAACGAAGCTTCATTAGAGATTCGAGGCCGACAAGTACAAAGACTAGGCAAGTCCTCGTACTACCCATAATTCCTATGGTCGCTGAACGATTGCAGCGTCAGAGTCACCTCTGGTAAATTTCAGGAAACTCTGAATAGAAGACCACTTCGATGAATGCTGGAAACATGCGTTGTTTTTGGAATTGCACTGTGCTTTCCCCGGAGAAGTATTACGAAGAAATGAGACAGGGAATGCAGCTGTGACGTCCCCGCAAACACGGACTGAACCCCGGTCCTGTCAAGATGTTTTCGCACGTTTTTTAAACCCACGCATAAAAAAAGGAAAAGAAAACCTTCGGTGTAACGAATGGGCATTCCGTAGTGGAGTACCTGGAAGGATTATTTCTACTGTTCGCACGGGTCCCCCTCGCGCAAACACGAGGACCGGGCGGCGCCTTTTTGTCTACAGTGTGACAGTGTACGGTGGCAATAATACGCGCGCTCCCTTCAGATTTGTGGCAGGAGGGGGAGCAGCAGAGCACCTTTTTTTGATTCGGGGAATGCGACCCTGCCGCAGCGCCTGTGCCGGGTCCGGTCTGACTTTCCGTCAGCCTCCGTGTCTCTAGGGCTCATTACTGCGTTCAGCGCGGATGACCACCCGCAGCGTTGAATGATGAAGAAGCGGCGGCTACGGAGAATTTCGCGGGAGACACCGAGCTGCATGGAGACGTCGAGACTCGTTCTGAACATCGGCTCATCAAATACCAGAAACCGGAGCAATTGGTTCGGCCGAAAACATTGTGGCACAACACTGCAAACTCCGGACGCTGGCCATTACAGACGATGCACTTTGTCGGAAGAATCGGGACGATTGTTCGCCCGTAATTAAAGTGTCTTTGGACAGCTCCCTCATCTCTCTCTCTGAGGCTTGAGTTTGTACATAGTTACTTGCTCGGCGTTGTTTGGGAGAGTATTTTTTACTGGTGTGGGCCACGGAAGCGGCCGTCGAAGATGATACACTCCGACTGACAGAGAAATGTGTCGTGTCAACAGTGGCAATTGGTTAGGTGCCACGGAGGGGCGGAGTCGGGTCCTAAAAAAAGGGACTACGAGACGACACGAGAAGAGTCAGAGTCAGAGAGACGGAGCGTTGAGATTGAGATTGTAGAAAGACGGAACGCAAAAGGAGATAACGGTGCGAGGAGATAGCGATGAGAAGCGATGAGATGATGACTGGGGCAAGAACTGTACGATGAGGAATGAAAGTTAGGAATAGGAGGTGAGTGAATGGAACGTTACAAAAGAGGGCTGAGATGAAAATCACTGAGAGGCACGACGAAGGCGACGATGACGAAGACGATGAAGACGCTGACGAATTGGACAATGATCCCAGGAAGAAGCCCTGAGCCCCGACTCGAACAGCCAGCTCCGAGGCCCCCGTCAACATGGACATTCTGTAAGACGAACTTCACCTCCCTTACTTAAACGAGCTTTGCGGGAAGGGATGCGGCATATAGAGACATTGCGCGGTTTTATTAATTAATGACTTTATCATTTGTGTCGTCGTGTGTTTATTCTGTATTTAGGCACCCTTGTATTGTCTTCGTTACTTCGCTTATGTATCCTGTTTCACGTGTCGCGAGTAATTGCTGATGTGTTACAATTTCGTGTAACAGAGATGTCGTTCACGGACAGTATGCGTGTACGCCATTCGCACTCGCTATTGAATTAAGTGCGTCCATGATTAAGAAAAGATCGTGACGTCTCTTACTTTCCGGCCCCAGCACGAATCCCTGTATGTGGAAAGTGATTGAGACACATACCCAAGAGGGAACCGGAAAAAAAGGAAGTTGAGGGGTCTTGCCTCTCTTTGGCGATCGGTGGCGTAGTGGGGACGTCTCAAGTGGTGGCAGCGGTGGAATTCGAACCCACGTCTCCTGAGGGACTGGCATACCTTCATCTTACAGAAGAATTTTACCAGCGGGGAAATTCAAACACGAGATATGCGGGCGCATAGCGCCTTCGGGTTGCACAGCGAAATCGACCACTTGAGACGTCTTCACTACCCCACCGATCGCCAAAGAGAGGGAAGACCCCTCAACTTCCTTTTTTTCCGGTTCCCTCTTGGCTATGTGTCTCAATCACTTTCCACATACAGGGATTCGTGCTGGGGCCGGAAAGTAAGAGACGTCACGATCTTTTCTTAATCATGGACGCACTTAATTCAATAGCGAGTGCGAATGGCGTACACGCATACTGTCCGTGAACGACATCTCTGTTACACGAAATTGTAACACATCAGCAATTATTCGCGGCACGCGAAACAGGATACATAAGCGAAGTAACGGTGACAATACAAGGGTGCCTCAATACAGAAAAACACACGATGACACAAATGATGAAGTCATTAATTAATAAAACCGTGCAATGTCTCAATATGCCGCATCCCTTCCCGCAAAGCTCGTTTAAGTAAGCGAGGTGAAGTTCGTCTCACAGAATGTCCATGTTGATGGGGGCCTCGGAGCTGGCTGTTCGAGTGGGGGCTCAGGGCTTCTTCCTAGGGTCATTGTCCAATTCGTCAGCGTCTTCATCGTCTTCGTCATCGTCGCCTTCGTCGTGCCTCTCAGTGATTTCAATCTTAGCCGTCTTTCGTAACGTTCCATTCACTCACCTCCTATCCCTAACTATCATTATTCATCGTACTGTCCTTGCACCAGTCATCATCAAATCGCCTCTCATCGCTATCTCTTCGCACCGTTATTTTCCTTTTCCATTCCGTCTTTCTACAATCTCAATCTCAACGCTCCGTCTCTCTGACTCTGACTCTTCCCGTGTCGTCTCGTAGTCCCTTTTTGTAGGACCCGACTCCGCCCCTCCGTGGCACCTAACCAATTGCCACTGTTGACACGACACATTTCTCTGTCAGTCGGAGTGTATCATCTTCGACGGCCGCTTCCGTGGCCCACACCAGCAAAAAATACTCTCCCAAACAACGCCGAGCAAGTAAAAATGTACAAACTCAAGCCTCAGAGAGAGAGAGAGAGAGAGGGATGAGCGAGCTGTCCCAAGACACTTTAATTACGGGCGAACAATTGTCCCGATGCTTTCGACAAAGTGCGTCGTCTGTAATGGCCAGCGTCTGGAGTTTGCAGTGTTGTGCCAAAATGTTTTCGACCGAACCGATTGCCCCGGTTTTCGATACTTGATGAGCCGGTGTCCAGAACGAGTCTCGGCGTCTCCATGCAGCTCGGTGTCTCCCGCGAAATTCTCCGTAGCCGTCACTTCTTCATCATTCAACGCCGCGGGTGGCCATCCGCGCTGAATGCAGTAATGAGCCCTGGAGCCACGGAGGCTGACGGAAAGTCAGACCGGACCCGGCACAGACGCTGCGGCAGGGTCGCATTTCCCGAATCAACAAAAGGTGCTCTGCTGCTCCCCCATGCCACAAATCTGAAGGGTGCGCGCGGATTATTGCCACCGTACATTGGTACACTGTCTGTAGACAAAAAGGCACCGCCTGGTCCTTGTGTTTGCGCGGGGGGGGGGGACCTGTGAGAACAGTAGAAATAATCCTTCCAGGTACTCCACTCCGGAATGCCCATTCGTTACACCAAAGGTTTTCTTTTCTTTTTTTTTATGCGTGGGTTTAAAAAACGTGCGAAAACATCTTGACAGGACCGGGGTTCAGTCCGTGTTTGTGGGGACGTCACACAGCAAACACAAGACGTGCACAAAACGTGCCCAATACATGCAAAAAGCGTGCACGAAATCTCCAATGCATGAAGTGATCAGTGCATCTGATTAAGGCCAGTGCTTTTCAGGCTTAACTCACGCTGTTGCTGCAACCATACTGTAGGAGTTTATCGGGCACTTTTTGTTACCACATTCTCGTTTTTACCACATCATCATACGTTCATCATGTGATCACATTATGTGGGCTACTCTTTCCCATCGCCCGTGGAAACACTTTTTCATTAGCGCCGGTGATTGCCATTGGTTGAAACTTTCGCGCGTATTCGTAAATAAATAAAGCCAAGCCTAAATGCTCCGTCCCATGTGGACGAGGTGCGGGGTACAAAATGCACCCCACATTGAAATTCGGGGGGACAGACAAGGAACTGCAGTTCCCAATAGCTAGTAAGTATTCCTTTTAAAACACTTTCTGTAGTTATGAATGAGCTACCACTATTTCAAATGAAAATTGCAATGCCTATAAAATTATTATTACGTATTAGAGCGCACCTTTTACGTGGTGGTTTATGTGTTGACCGGCGTCGCTGTATTTGATAGCGTGAACGAAAGCGAAGAAAGGAAATGCGGAGACTGTGCGTATCCCTAGTCACTGCAGGCATCTAACTTTACTATGTTTCTACGTTACGCACGCTGGACCCTCGGTGGAAGTACATGAACATGCAAGTCTGGCAGGTGCACTGCGACGGCCTAAGCTCTTCGCAATGGGACTACCGTCATTTCGCTTGGTCCGAGACACCTGCACTGCGCAGATTGGTGCGTGTAAAACTGAGTGCTGGCACTTTTGGTCGCAATGTCTAACGAAGGTTACAAAGCTTCAACTGCGGCTAACCAAAGCTTCAAAGAAAGTTGGCGCTGCCTGAATGTGAATTGTGCATGAATTTTAGGGGCGAAGCTCCTTATGGCGTGGCTTGTGCGTCCTTCGTAGTACGTAACCACCAGTGGCACATACCCGAAATAGCGGTCCTTACGATTTTGACCTCCGAGGTGGTTCCGGTGAAAGATTTCATCTGTGCGTTGTTTAACAATAAAAGATAGTGCTCAATGCACATGTTAATGGCTGCTAACGGGGAATGAGAAACAAGAGCATTCGGCCTTTAGGTAACGCGCACGCTGCGATCCCCATTAGCAGCTTTGGCATGTACATTGAGCATGATCTGACAAGAAAGGATTGCTACGTTATACTCGCTGGGTGTAACCTCCTTGGTTTTAGAAAGGTTTAGCGAGCGTTGGGCCGCATAGCCATGAATATAGTGAACTAGTATAAACAATGAACTCGAGGTGGTTAAACGTGAGAAGTAAACCCGAAGCGCAAGCCGTAAGAAAGTGTGCATGTGCCACCTCCCGTTTAGTCTTTGAAATGTCCGGTGGATGGTGGTGCTTCTATATGGAGAATATATAATGAAAAGATGCGAGATGGCGGTACTTGGAGTGCTGAATAGATGGACGAACGGACACACAGACAGATGCATGGATGGACGCATGAACAGACGCAGGCGCGGATGCATGGACGAACGCAGGGTCAGACGCACGAACATGCGCACGCACGGACGGGTAGATGGACGCATGGACGGTTACACGGACGTACGCAGGAACGGACGGAAGCAAGAACGAATGGACGGACGAATGCTTCGCCCCACTCCCATAATTCACTCCGTGGATATGCTGCCATTTTTTTTAGAACGCGCCATCTAGGCTTCCATTCCTGCGTTTAGCGGCGTCGCCGTGTCCGTAACCGGTAGAGCAACCGAGGACGAAAGAGAGCGAACACGGAGAGTAGCACAGGATGAAAAAAATGGCAGCATATCCATGGAGTGAACAATAGAGAGTGGAGCAAAGCATCCGTCCGTCCATTCGTTCTTGCTTCCATCCATCCATGCGTCTGTCTGTGTGACCGTCCATGCATCCACCCACCCGTCCGTGCGTACGTCTGTTCATGCGCCCGTCCCTGCGTTCGTCCATGCATCCGCCCCTGCGTCCGTTCATGTGTCCATCCGTCGGTGCAGCCATCCGTGAGTCCGTTCATGCATCTGTCTGTGTGTCCGTTCATTCATCTATTCAACCTCCAAGTACCACCATCTCGCATCTTTTCATCATATATTCCGCATATACACCACCATACAGCGGACATTCCAAGGATTAAACTAGAGGTGGCACACGCACACTTTCTCACGGCTTGCGCTTCGTGTCTACTTCTCACCTTTAACCACCTCGAGTTCATGGTATATGCTAGTTCACTGTATTCATGGCATAGCGGCCCAACGCTCGCCAAACCTTTCTAAAACCAAGGAGGTTATGCCCAGCGTGTATAACGTAGCAACCCTTTCTTGTCTGATAGTGCTCAATGTACATGCCAATGGATGCTAAGGGGGAATGAGAGATAGGAGAATTCGGCTCTTAGTTACCGCGCACGCTGCGAATTTTCTATTGTTCAACGACGCACAGAAGAAATCTCTCATTGGCACCACCTTGCAGGTCAAAATGTAAGACTGGTTACACACTACGACTACTACTACGACTACGAGGTGCCACTATAAGGAGCTTAGTTCTTAAAAAACATCGACAACGAGCTGAACGTGAGGTTGAACGGCGCGACATTGACTAAACAGCGTGTTCCACGGCGGCCCCCCGCTGCGCCACAGTAGTGCGCGCTATCACGCAGTCTCTGACGACATCCACCGATAACATATATGGAAATAATGCGCTGCATGAATGGATGCCTATCTGAGGCACATTTTGGGGAAAGAGCCTGCACGATGAATTCCGTGGTCTCCTGCTTATTGAGGCAATCGCGCTACACTTCGTCTGCGGCAGTGACGTGAAATGGACTATGCAAATTTGCCCGGGCCCCTCACGCTACTCACGACGTGATATGCAACAGTGCATACACATTGCACCCCTCTCTCAAACTGTTCGTCGCCACTCATCGCTAAATCAAACCGCCTAAACAGCTGTGCTTAAATTCTCATTAAACACTATCGTATTCATAAGTTAATCATTTAGTTTAAGCGAGACTACAAAGTCTAGTTCTAAGCAGTTGAATAAAAGAGAGAAATAAGCTATGCTTAGTCACGAAACTTGAATTGTTTTATCACTGGCATTATGACTTCGGTGACGGATTATCTTTCTTGAGGAGAACTACATAGCTTCATAGACTGCAAGAAAGATTGAAAATAAGAGAGAGAGACAACAGGCTGCACTACTGAACAGGCGCTTCCAATAAAGTTGAGTCAGCAGATGAAATTGCAGCGTTCTGTTTCCACAGAAACAAGATTATGAAAACAACGGCAGTACTTCTATGAGAGCGAGGAGTGCGCAGGTATTCTAACTGCTTAATATTTTACCTAATACTGTAATGCTAGGTCTTAGAGCAAGATGGACCAAGTATAGTTTTAAGATATTCCTGGATTAGTGTTCAGAATAATGTGCTCTGGCGAAGTCCTTACGTGCTAACGTAAAAAAAGCTAACTTTACGAGAAGACTCAAATTCTTTGACCGTGTGGATAGAATTATGCAAGATTACTAATAATTGACATGCAAGAATTCGTAAAACACACCTGCAAATGAACAAAGATATATTAATAGGGAGCAGGCTAGTAAGTGCTATCACACTAGAAGTGCTGCTTTTCCACTCTGCAGAAAAAAAGCAGCAGTAACAATAAATGAAGACAGAAGAAAGACGGGAAAACTGTTCAAAAAACACTTTGACACAGAAATGAAACGCACCCTTGTGGTCTTTCGCATTGTTTCCTAATCATGTACAACCAATAAACACAGCAATCAGCACTACAGAAAGAAGTCACGAGAAAATGAACTATGAAATGACAGGCTGGGCGTATGCACCAGTGCATCACACCTTGATTCTTTAGAGACTTCATTATTGTACGTATAACTTAAACACTCTTCAGATGAGTAGCTAACTAGTAGAACCTAGGGCTTACATATAGCAGTTTGAGTACATGAACTTTTGTTATTGAGTGCTGAGGTACGCTAACCATAGAAAACAATTACTGCACATCGATCTTTCCCTTTTTAGTTTCCTGTTGTGAGACGAAAAAGCGCTGGAAAGTTCTGAGAGTATTCTGTAAAGGCAATCATAGTCTATGTTATGTTCAATTCATTTATCTTTGATAAAGATAGAATAACTGTTCAGTGGGACGAAAAGAGTGTGTTCTCTTGTTAATGAGCATTCAATCCATCAATCAAATCATCACCAAAAATATTGTTAATAAATTATAAAATAAAGCATAATTATCTCCGCAAACGCATTTTTGGGAGTTTGTGTTGCGTCTTCCGGTGCTAGCATGCTTCATTCTAAATTTTGAAAATTATATATGCAGATGATCATCTTAATTCAACGTCAGTTTCCAGTATTTGAGTTGGTTACAAGATGAAATTTTCGCTGACATAAGTGAAAAGTTTTGGCTTCTAGTTTAAATAAAAACCTTCAGCGTGATGCCAGATACAGTGCTTTCAAAGCATACAGCAATTTCAAAGGCATCCAACGTTTCTAGACTGACGTAAAAGCACCACCTACCGTAAGTTCGTATCAAGTAGCTGCGCTTGCTGCGCAAGTCCTGGATGTAGGTCATGACGTCCCCTTTCTTCGTCACTCTGAAAGCAGCTCTTTTCTCAATGCTGTCGTATGCTTCTTCAAATACCGAGAGTTCATAGGGATGGCTTATCCCGCTCACTTTAAAATTTGTTCGTTGGAATTCCCCGGACGCGACGAAAGAACCGTTGTAGTAGGGTATCCCTGAAAAGAGAGGAACGAAAACGTCTTTGGCTTAGGCAAGAGCTGTTTGTCTAAGAAATAGGACAATGGATAGAGCAAACTGTAAAGGGTACTGACACCATTTTCTAAGGCAAGTTTACTCTGGTTTACAGATGTCCTATATACTGAGACGCATACGCCAGTGTAAAGCTGAGCGAACGCTGATAAGATATTTTAATATTAAAGACAATTTTCGGATGGGGCATTTATCCACGTAGACACATACCTTTATGTTAGGTTACCGGAGACTTCTGGCTTCTAGTCTGGCTAGTCGAGATGGTGTCAGGTGCCAAAAATTTTAAAATTGGCACTTGCTCGTCACCGAAACACTCAAAATGACCGCCTACGCGTCAAAAACAGAGGCAGGTGCGGATTGGCCGTGGAAACTTTACGATATCTTGTGCGAACACGTGACGAGAATCTCATACCACGTTGTGACATCTGAGTGCAGTAGAAACCTGCATCAGCTTTAAAAATCGTACTGTAAATATTTTACGTACTGTAAATCGTACTGTAAATATCCCTCTCGCTTAGCAGTGCATTTTCTAGGTTCTTAAGGGCTTGCCTTTTCACTTGACGTAAAACGACGACTGAAACTTTTCCTGTCAGTACCACTTTGGAGAACAGACAAGGCACTGTCTTTTTTTCACCTTGCTCTGCCCAACATGCGTCCTTCCTCCATTCCGCATTCTGCATCTCGGCCTATATTATCACTTTACCGCAGACTTTCAACTCACGATGAGTAAACAAAGAAGTAATGGGGCGTGATAACAAACGAACCTTAGTCTTGCACGTCGCGCTCGACCTCCCTTCTGATTTTGTTTTTTCGTGAGCAAGCGAAGAGCCATCACTTGAACGTACTATGAAATGTTTATCAGCATTTAGGCTACATCATCAAATTATTTGCAGCACAAATCAAGCGATGTACCGTGTATTAAGGTAGCTAGAGAAAGTTATATTTATACCTTTCAACTCATCACTGCTTTGTTTCCCGAACTGACGAAAAACTCAGACGTCGTTGGTGACCGCAGCGCATTCAGCCGGGTGGGCTCCGTCGAATGCGCTCGGCAGCGCGACGTGGGGCAACAAAGCAGACGCGCGTGGAGTGATTGATATCTCCTCCACCTCCTGCCTTACCAGTCGTACTACCCTTATTCTCCGGTACGGCGACAAAAAGTGAAGGCCCGCAGGCAAACAAAAAGTACTTGAGAAGGATCAATGGTAAGCGGAAAATCGCAAAAAGTGGTTGTGTTTTCAAAGGTCAAGTTAGATCCTCAGACGCATGGATCCTGGCGTTAATCGGATAGCGAGCCCTCCCCGCCCACTGCAGCGACGAGCTTAAGCCACTCCGCTCGCCATTGCAAGCCTTGCACGAAGTCGTTGCTTTAGAAGTCGCCAATCACTATCTTTGCTGCTCACCAACCAGAAAGGACAATTCATGGTATCTGAGTAAGAAAACTTCGAAATAAACGTCGTCGCGCAGTTCGCTTGACCACGGAACACGAAGTAACGGAGGCAACTGGACGATCACTGTCGGGAGGAGGCTTAAAGGCGTAGACTATATACACATCCAATCAAATTGGCCACCGGAGCTATCGCGTAACGTGGAACGATGCTACCTAGTAAGGGCTCGGGAAGTTGAAAACTCATTCAGCACGTTCTCAGGCTTGTGTAGTAATTTGCGTGTTTAAAGACTTGTAAAAACATTGCAACTTTGACGCAGAGAGCCTAAGCAACTCATCTGCGAATCATTCTTAGGGAGGTCTTTGCAACAGTAGTGAGTTTATACAAAATCGTTAAACCATATCTGGGCTTCGTTAATACATTGTTAGCTGTTGGTTAGCGTAGTGTAATTATTACAGATTTATAACTTTCTATTCCACCCACGTCCACCACTCACGTTAACATATTTAAAATAAAGAATGAATGAACGCTAGCATCACATTTCTCATAAAACTAAGGCCTTTTATCAAGTTACTGGAAGTTACAACTTACCGTAGACACGAAGAACGCTTAGGAGAAGACAACATAAATGTAGCATTTTTTCCTGTGAAAGCTATGCAACTTTGTGTAAATGCGATAAGTATTTTACTGAGTCTCACAGGTTGGAGCCTGAGTTGTCACGGCTTTGACAACAGAAAAAGCAGTGGCCGGCACTAGCAGAGTCTTATCTGAATATCACTTTACCCTAATGATGCTAGGAAACTTCCGCTCACTGTGATTCAAATGTTTATTGAGAAAGCCAGCAGCGAGAGAAGTTTCCCGCAGGAGCACGGCCAGCGCTGTAGCCTGTGCGTCGCAATAATCTAACGATAGAATGTGCGCACGGAAGCGGAGCCTTATCTTTTGATGATACGAAGCATACGCACGGGCCACAAATGTCGGTGCCAAGATAAGCAAGAACCTCATGTGTCAGGGTGCCTTGTGATTTTGATTGTGGTATTGCGGCACAACGACGTCCTTTTAGAAAACTCGATAACTTCACGTGACGCATGAGCAAGCGAGGGTGGCTCAATAAATACCTGCGCATATATGATCGCAGGTTGAATGCTTGGTGACAATGTCAACTGGAAATGAATTTGCATGTGTTGTTGCGCAGTTCGCATGACTTGATGCGTGACATCTATTTCATAAATACAATAACTGCTGTTGAAATTCATTGTAACTTGGCCATGTCGCAGCGAATGGGTCGGGTCCTTCAATGCCAGACTTTCCAGCCACCCGTCCATTTTGGCGATCGTTTCAAATGTGTCCGAAAAAACGCATTTTTGCATCAGAAACAGTGCATTGCTAGAACAATTCGGGGAGAAAAAATTACGCCTATGTGATAGCCTTGCAAATTAAGCATAATGTCATCTGACTGAATTTTGCCAAAAAACTATGATGAGGGTATCGTTTTTCATCACCTTTACCATTAGATTTGTTTTGCACAGTCAGCAAAGGCGTTCGTGTGCGGTGTTAAAAAAAAATTCAATATTATGTACCTCTACAAGCCTTGTCGAAATTTTCTACGTTTGTAATTTTTATGCCGTACGATTTCGCTACGTGTGAATGTCTCACAAGTTAACGCTATCTCTGCGGGATATATATTTTGCGCAAAAATGCTTTCAGAGACCACTAATGCTTGGCATCTTTCAAGGAAACATCACGAACTAGAAAAAAAAATCTTCATTTTGGTACGCATTGAGGCTTAATTTACTACACATGGAGCTATAATATATATATCTCAGTTTAGAGTCACTCAATAGTTGCTTTTGTATGAAAAGTATTTATTATGGCATTTAGCGTTCTGAAGAAGAAAGCAATTTTTAAAGGCCCAAATTAATGGCCATCTCTCCACTTTATTAAGCAGTTTTTCCCCAATGAAGTACCCTATCACCACTAATGAAGAACTTTATGAATTATTGGCTTCATTAAATAATGTAAATGCAAATATATGTGTCATATTTTTTTTTGCGAACAAATTTGAGATGGTTGCCACAATGGCTGGGATGTTTCGCATGGAATGACTCAAACGTGACCACTAAAACTAATTTTTGTTCTTATGTAAGCTTTCGAGTCAGAAATAGGCTTCCATGACCCGAACTGTTGACGCTGCATGCGAAAGGAGGTGCAATATTTGTATTCCCATTAAGTGACCATGCGTTATCGACCTTTCATGTAGCATTTGAATGTGAAGTTAACTGCTGAAACAGATAAACATATAGTTCATTAAACCAATCAATATATCAATCATAGTGATATCGACACCTTTCAGTCTGACGTATACACCGGACACCAGCATTATTTTTCCCAGAAAGCACTAAATCTATATTACTGAAGGAAGCCCACTGATCGCAGTGCGCTTCAGTATTGATTGATAACAAACTGAAACACTTTGAGACGACTTGCCTTCGTGCTCTTTCATTAGGAAGATGTGAAACAATGTGAACATCCTGAAGCTGCAAGACAGAATCACAGAGGCAGATGGACAAGCACGTGAATGGGCGCGTTTCAGCCGAGTCTTCTCTACGAAACATTGCATTCACGCGATCATTCCGGTAGTGTATAAAAACAGATGAACTCAACAAACGCCTTTATATTTCATAGACTACGATAAATCCTTCGACTCCAGATATATCAGGAGCCCTAAAATCACTACGTCGACAAAAAAGTAGCTAAAACTTATGTCATTACCTTGGGCGGCGGGATGGCTTTGGGTCATTGATTGATCCATCAATCGATTGATTGATTGATTGGTTGATTGAATGATTGAGTGAGTGAAGGTTGTTGTTGGTATGTGGGGTGTACCGTCCGAAAACCACCATATGATTATGAGAGACTGCGTAGTGGAGGGCTCCGGATATTTAGACCACCTGGGGTTCTTTAGCGTGACCAAATCTGAGAACACGGGCCTACAGCATTTCCGGCTTCGTTGGAAATGCACCCGTGAGTGAATGAAGGTATATGTTGACATATAGCAGCAACAAACGGCACATTGAAACGCTACAGTCAGGTTGAACAACGAGATGACATTCAACGTGGACCTACTTTCGTACAATACTCACGCATTGAAACGGGGTCATATTTTTATTGCGTTTCTTTGGGGGTATACGTAGGGCACCTACTTTTGTTTTTTTTATCTAAAGTTCGTTCCACGCAGCGTAATTTTAAGACTAATTTCCTTGGACATATAACTTACCTATTTATGCGTGTTTTCATGTGCACGTGTGCATTTATTTTTATTCTTCTTTCATTGTTAATGAACTTCTTTTTTATGCCAATTTTCTGTATATTTAGTCCTACTTTTTCGCACCATTGCCGTGCTCCTCCTATTGAGTTTTCATTCATGTCCCCAATTTTTTTCCTCTTGCATCTCTGTCTGCGCAACTGTATTTTACTTTGTTTACCATTTCAATTATACGATAACAATGTTTTGATTTGGAAATTTTTTGCACAGCTAAAACCCCCCTATGTAATGCCTGAATGGAATTTTAGTGTATACACGAATAATAGAAAAAACGCTTTCAACAGAGCCTACTGAACATTTAGCGGTGACATTTCATGCCAAACGTCCCAGCCATTTTGGTGATTATCTTAAATGGGTACGAAAAAAAGGCGTTGATTTTTTATATGGCAGGCTCTATCATGACGTTGTTTTGCTTATAAGGAAGCAAATAAGTTTTTTAAGTTTCACAATAGGGGAAACACTCCTCAGCTAACTTACTTCTCCCCACACTAAAAAAAAGGATAAAATATTGCAGTGAAAAAAGCCACCCAATAATATATAATATAACAATACTGGGCCCAACGTGCTTAGAGGAAGTATTCAACTAGCGAGACTGGGAAGAAGGTGGAATAGATATTGTCGGAGAATGTCTCAGCTACCTACTACTTGCAGGTGACATTAACAGTCTGAAGTAATAATACCAACGAATTGAAAAGCAAATGATTGAAAAAATCAAATTGAGGAAATCGACATAACATGAAAAAAAAATGGCTCCGTGTCTGCATGTTTCACTGAAAATGTCGTAGAACGAAGATAGCCTTGCGTCTGGAGAGAGTGAACAAAACGTTTATTTGATGTTCTGCGCAAGAAAATGGGTAAATTGTATTCTGGAAGTGCTGCGTTAGAGGGTCTGAATCCGTGCAGCGAAGGCGAACGAGCGCATCGAGGCAAGTTAGACACGAGCGCCATCTGGCAGTTATCATCGAAAACGAAGGAAGTTGTGCGCGCCCACGGAGAAAGGTGTGCGCCTGTCTCGGAGGCGAGAAGGTGTAGAACGCAAAGCGACGGGCAGGTGCCAGCACCATGTCGTTTTAGCAAAGCGTTGGAAACGCTTGGCCTATTGAGCATCACGTTGCACTGTCTGCGCAGCGTGATAAACGCTACGGTTCTTAGAATTACTTGTGTGTGCCTTCTCTAGTATAAAGGCACACATACAAAACATCGACGTGTTGTTATGGTGCTTCAGATATGCACAATAATTGCTTTTTGATTGGCAATCACTCAAATATTAACGCTGAAGTTTGAGCAATATTGGTGGGCGCTGCGGATGGGGTTGGCCGTTTAAAGTTCGTTTGGTACCGCTGGGGGGATTGTTACCGCTGACAGACAGACAAATGTACAGACCAAAATTTTGGCGTCGAAGGTCCCCAAGAAAGACAATCATTTTCAATATAATCAAGGCAAAGATAATGCTACGTAATTTGGCGGAAGAGAAAGAGTTAACGGCTAATGAATGAATGCAAAACTTTATTACAAATAGCTTTTTTCCGGTGACGTTGGAGCCCTCAGTCCAGGGCCCCCGTGGTCTTTGCCATCTTGCAAGCTATGTCGATCAGCTTGAGCTGTTCTTCAGGCTTAGAGCAGGACAGCGCAGCCTCCCACTGCTCCGGTGTTGGTGTACAGTTTCTTGACACTACCTGTGTGTGTTGGCAGGCCCATGTCACGTGGTAAAGTGTGGGTGTTCTCTGCATAGCGGGCATTTGTTGGTGTATATTCCCGGATAGATTTTACTCAGAAGACTGAGATTGGGGTACGTATCAGTCTCCAGCGGTCTCCAGGCAACCGACTGCTCTCTGTTGAGGTCTTTGTGGGGAGGGGGGTATATCCTCCTCAGGGCTCTCTGGTGTTCTAAAATTGCTCGACATCGTTAAGTAACTGTGGCTGGTTCCTCGTCGTTGTGCGCCCCCCGGTCGGCGTATTCTCGGGCAATGGCGTCGGCACGCTGGTTCCCTGTCACAGTTTCATGGCCTGGTGTCCACGTAATGGAGCAGCTCGAGAAGTTGATTTTTCTTCCCTTGAGTATGCGGATGGCAGCACTGGATATGCGTCCACTGCTGTAGCGTCGACACGCTTCTTGCGAGTCAGTAACTATTTCTGTAGTAGACTCTTCGCTCTGGTGTGTGATGGCGAGCGCGATCGCTACTTCCTCAGCCTCGAGGATGTTGTTGCTTTTGATCGAAGCGCTGTTGACTTCCCTAAGTTAGCAATCAACAACGCTTACAACTGTCCCGGAGTGCTCTCTGTATGTGGTCGCGTCAACGTACAATACGTCGGTTCTCGCCTTGAAATTTTTTTCTTGTGCTTCTGATCTGGCTTTTCTTCGA